AGCCGAACATCAAATATGCCCATCCGTCTCTCCAAATGATCAAAGTGGGAAACCATGGCATGCTCAAACTATCGCAGATGGCCCCTGATAGATTGAGCCAGAGGAGGTTGCTCCCCCTTACTTCCAGTAGCGGCATCAAACTCAGCTTCCTCAGACAGAGGATCTTCACCCATACCAAAACCACCCACCCCCAAAAGAACCCCCCTTAACATGAGACTAACTCCGAGAAACAGTCTTTTTGGTGAACAGTTTGACAGGGAAGGCAAACTCATTGTCCTCAAAGGTAGGAACCTCGAGTTTGGTGAGAAAATGTTTAAGAAGGCAACCATAAGGTAATATTAAGGATTTTCTCTCAAACGCGGCAACCGTCTTTGGGATGACTAGGGTGGCAAGATTGATAGAGAGCTGGTGATCGATGCAAAAGAGAACATACCCTTGGTCTTGATTGATTTCAGAACTATGAGTGGTGACTATGATAAAACACAGACAATTAAGTTGAGCAACCTGAACCGGGGTAGAAGTTTATTTTGTTTGATGAGAGCCCCCTTGATCCAAATGCGCGGTGTACCACACAACTCAATGGCCACCTCGTTGAAGTCACAAGTGGGTCAAACAGGGAAGGAACAGTGACACTGAAAGGCAGGGCCTATGCCCAAGAGCTCACGGATAAGATTGGGGGTAATGGTGATGGGCTTAGACCTAACCCAGGTCTTGAAAGAAGGACTAATATCATCAATTCCTTCGATGTTACAATAAAACTCTCGTACCTAGTCAAGATTTTGACGAGCAGAAAATGATGGAATCAAGTCACGCCCCAAAGGATCAAACAGCGGCCAAATAGGTATGGACTCAAATGTATTGGGCTGGACATTGCGCTCTAAGTGGACAGTCTTAGAGGTGTAAGATTCCCCAAAGGGCTTTTTCTGCGGATGGAAACCGATTGAGGTTATAATTTGGGCGAGTGTAGACATGGCTAAACCCAAAAGAAATCCCAAACCAAACCGATAGAAAACAACCCCCCAAAACCAAGGCAGAAACCAAAATCATTAGGACCAAAAATTTTTAGAAACACAGCCAGTCAACCAAAACCAGTAGGACACAAAGCCAACAATCCAACAAAGACATGAGTAAGAACAGAAATTCCAATAGGTATAAAAGACCACATATTGTTAACATAGCAAGAATAAGAGAAACAGGTAAAAGCCTAGAGTATGAAAAAGAAACAAAAATACTAGACAAAACCGAAAAATGCAGAATGCAAAAAAAAAAAAAAAAAAAAAAACAAAACAAAGAAAACACCATACTAAGCAAGACCCTATCACAAAGAGATAGCAATGGACAGACAAAGCAGGAAGATATATCAATGCACACTCCAAGATTGACCCAATCAGAACCAAGAGCAACACAAAAACTGTTCAAACCTACCGTTTAAGTGTGTGATCAACAGAAACCAAAAAAAAAAAAAAACGCAGCCCAAGCCACCCCAACCAAGACTCTAAGTAGATAAAAACATGAGAGATAGACAAAAATAAAACCAAAGAAAATAGCAAGAAGAAGAATGAAGACATACCTGAGGCAAGATGGACGACTGGAGTGAGGGAAGTGCACACATTGATAAAGGAGACCAAGAGGGAATCAAGAAGGGTGAGAGTGCACAAGAAGCCCTAGGAGAGAGACGACAAAAATTGGGAAAAATGGACTGAAAGGTTGAGGGTTGGGTTTATAAAGCAATGCCGTCTGCTCGAGAGAGGGTTTTGACACTCGAGCGTAATTCTATATGCGCGTAGCTTGGCTTGAGCCAAGACTCATGCGCTCGAGCGCAAAAAAAAAACCTCAGAGAAGATTGGTGCCTCTACAAAAGTGCTAAATGAGGGAAATCTTCGCTTGAGCGCTAGAGTTGCCACTCGAGCGGGTAAGAAAAAATAACAAAGGCAAAATGCACCATTCTAAGCAGTTAAAAACAACTCACACTGTCAAGTGGGACTTGAAACAATAGAAGATTAGTACAATAGCAAACAGTGGCACTAAGAGTGGATAATCCACAGACCATGAAGCCTGTAAACTCGCAATTTTGACAATATGAAACACAGTATCATAAGCAAATAAGGTAAACATCGATCAATGAGCATAAGTTACATGGGAATACACAACTCAGACAAACATGAGAGCTCACATAATGAATGTTTGTGTGTGCAATCCTTGAGAGGTCACAGAACTAGAGTTAATCCTGGTACTGATCGGATGGCTGGACCTCTGACAAGAGTAACTAAACATCACTGAAAAAAGTCAAACCACTAGAAATTAAGGGGTATTTGTTGAGTAAAAGTAGAGGCTTCTCCTCATTCAATGAGTCCATTTGTTATTTTTTATTATTTTTTTATTTTTTCATTTGATTTTTGACATTTCTTTTTTGTGGGCACTCGCTTGTGGCTTTCACACTTAATAGTATGGAGACCAAACCAGAGAAGGATGGAAACAATAAAGAAGGCCTGGTTAGTGCTTCTGAGGTAGCCTTTCCCTAATGCCCGGACTCCGAACTCTAAAGAAATGAGAGAGGAACCGTGGAAGTGAAAATTGATGGTAGATTGGTTAAGAGACTCAATATCACCCATGATATGCTAGTATAGGTCAATTCCTCTAAAAATGTATAAGAGACTGTTAGAAGTCCATAAAGAAATTTGATCACTTGTGCGGAAACCCCTGCAACAGTTTATCTCAAAGAAGTGTACAGAATGAGATCATGAAATCAATAAGCATGAGCATTCAAAATAAGCTATGAACAAAGAAGAATGAAATCTTGCAAGCAGCATGAGAGGTGTTCATATAAGTCTTCAATGCAAGGATGACAAGAACCAATGACAATGAGATTATAGCATCCAAGAGCACAGAAAGCCAATCACTCTAACCCACTCAAGTAACAATTCACACCCTAATGACTGAGCACTACACCCAAGGTCTTTCTAAGGAATTCAAACCTAAGAAGATTAAGGGGTTTTATAAAAATATAAACCTTTTGATGCTCAGTAGGTACATATTCACGAACAACAAGGCCCTCTTCTACTAACTCTCGAATGAAATGATAATGAATGTCAATGTGTTTGGTGCGAGAGTGTTGGATGGGAATTTTAGAAATATTAATGACACTTGTATTATCACAGAAAAGGGTGAGAGTGTCCTGGTCTGTCATAATCATAAAGCATTTGCTTCATCCACAACATTTGTGCACAACAAATCCCTGCAGCAATGTACTTAGCCTCAACGGTCGAAAAAAAGATGACATTTTGCTTTTCGCTATGCCAGGCAACCAAATTATTCCCAAGGTAAAAACACCCTCCAAATATGCTCTTACGATCATCAGCACACCCAGCCCAGTCGGCATCAGAAAAATTAGTGATTTTGGCTGTAGTGTTGGTCGAGAACCAAATCCTATACCCTAATGTCCCATTAACATACTTAATGATACGTTTGACCGCAAAAAGTTGAGACTCTTTAGGACAGGTTTGGTAACAGACACAAACACCTACACTAAATGGAATGTCAGGTCGATTGGTTGTGAGATACAAAAGACTCCCTATCATACTCCAATAAAAGGTAGGATCAACATCAGTACCAGAGGAATCTTTGGAGAGGTGAAGACTAGTGCTCACAGGAGTGCGCGCATGTTTGGCCGACTCTAGACCGAGCTTAGACACAAGGTTTTTGGCATACTTGGTCTGAGAGACAAATATACCTGAAGGAGACTGTTTTTGAAGACACAAGAAATAAGACAACTTCTTTATCATGCTCATTTCAAACTCATGTGTCATGCAATCTGAGAAATATTTCACGAGAGAATCAAAAGTGGATCCAAACACAATATTATCAACATAAATTTGAGCAACAAGTATACGAGACTTAGTATGTTTCACAAATAAGGTTTTGTCCACACTATTCCTTTGAAAGTCATTATCAAGAAGAAAGGTAGTAAGTCTATCATACCAAGCTTGAGGGGCTTGTTTCAACCCATACAATGCCTTGTCTAACTTATAGACATGGTGTGGACAGTTTGGGTCCTTAAACCCTTTTGGTTGCTCAACATAAGCCCCTTCTTTCAAGTAATCATTCAGAAAGGCACTTTTTACATCCATTTGAAACAATTTGAACCCTAGAAAGCATGCAACACCAAGTAAAATCCGAATAGATTCGAGACGTGAACAAGGGCAAACGTCTCATCATAGTTAACACCCTCTACTTGTATATAGCCTTGAGCAACCAACCTAGCTTTATTTCTAACCACAGTACCATTCTCATCAGATTTATTTTTACATATCCACTTGGTACCTATCACATTCATGTCTCTAGATTTGGGAACAAGAGTCCAAACTTTGTTACGTTCAAATTGACACAACTCTTCATGCATTGCATTGACCCAACTATCTAGTAAGGCTTCTTTTATATTTTTAGGTTCAATTAACAACACATAGCACATATGGGATACCTTTTCCCAAGTTCCATTGCTTATGGGCTTCATTTAAAGTTACTTTTTCTTCTTCTTGTGAAATGTTGGTTTAGCAGAATGATTTAGCTGATTTTTTTCTCTTTCCATTTTACTGAAGAATGTCTCCTTGCTTGATTGATACTCAATTCTCATTCTTTCCCTGTAGCATAGCAAATGCACTATTACTAGTTTGGCATCACTAGTTATATTTTGGACTAAATCAATAATATGACACAAGAATAGTTTATCTCATTAACAAATTTCCTTTCAGGTTTGTTATAGCCTAGAGCACTACATTTGCTTTGTTTACAACCATGCGAAAAAAAATTGGATTTTGCATGACGATAATAAAGTGAAGGTACATTCAATTAAGTTACAAGGTTTTATTCTTACATCTTACCTTTCATTTAGTTTGTGTAATTTATGTTTAAATTTGAACAGGTTACTGGTAATTGGGATGGTGTTCTTGCCATGTGTTCAAGAAATCGTTTGCAACCCCAACTACTATTTTTTGAAGTGAAGGGAAGTGCCTCTGTAACTCCTTTGGAGGAAACCAAGGTGCTCGACAATCCTTAGGAAGTACGAAAGGAAAAGATCTGGCAACCATGGCAAGGCCAAGCAGCCTTTTATTAAAGCTAGGCTATCCTGAATGTCATTCTAATCTGTAAACAATTGAAAAAATAATAAAATTGACACGGCATCTGCAAATCTCCAGGACTTGTTTGGATGGTTATATTCCCAAAGAAATATGTAGCAGTAAAAAGGGCTTTATGCCTACTTATAAAGTGACTTATTATGTATTACATACAATTATTGTTGTTTACCATCTAAGGTTATTTTAATTTCATTATACATCTTAAGATATAGAAAAAATGGGGCATATACAGGCAAGTGCTTGTGTTTTGGATTGTTGCTCTTTCATGGGTGGGAAAATTTGATCCGACAAAAGATTCTCTGAATAACTAACAAAAAAAATAAAATAAAATTGATGAAGTAAAATAAAACCAAATATTGAATTCAGTGTTCCATATTCCCCTGAAACATAAATGAGGAAATATGAGCTTGCCATATTGAGAGGTAGCTAAAGGAGATTCCGGACTTCTAAAATTTATATTTATTTCATTTACTCAAGTAGTTGAAAACTATGGAAGGGCCTTTGCTCAGATTTCTGGTTTGTCAACAATTTTCAGAGACATCATGAGCATTGTAATGAGCCAAAGGGTACCGTCAAAGCTACCCTTAGGGTTGATTTGATATTTAGAAATATTGATTTAACAAATATATTAGGGCGAGGTTGTTAGATATTGGTTTAATTTTATATTTTATTACTGTTTGTTTGTATTCAATATTCAAATTTGTAGTTTAAATTCTATAAAATTTGTAGGTTTGTGATTCTATTAACTTCTATTATTTGTAGTAAAATTTGTTATCTGCAGCGATATGCTTTATAATTTTTTATTTTTCTGTAGATATGGATTTGGGTGATGAACACCCATGCAGTCATCCTCTTCAGAGACAGTCTAATAATGTTATTTATGTACTTGAGGGTGACCTGGGAGACCATTCCTATGGTTATACCTCCATGCAAAACTGTGTTAAGGATTACACTTTTAAAATTAGCACATTGGATTATAAAACTGATGAGGAGGCGTTTGAAGGGTTTATCTGCTTGAAGTCTTGCAAAGGGTTCTATGTCTTCATGTTGGATAACAACATTTTATTAGTAAAAAGATTAGGGCCCGACTTGGCAACGTACTTTCAAGATGAATACACAACATTTGTAAGAAAGGGTGGGCCTTACACTCGTTGGTTTGACTTTATCAACGACAAATTTTGTGCAATTTTCAGGTATTGTTTTCTTCTAATTATTATGTTTAATAATAATACTTTGTAATTATTATTTTTTGCAATTAGTTATAATTGTTGTTATGTAGGGATATATTTAACAGATTACGGCACATATATTCATTACAAATTTGTGAGTGGAATGAGGGCTGGCGATACTTCAGTAATCAATAATTGCGCGAAACTTTTTTTTTATTCATAATCCTAAATCTGGTACGTTTGTCAAGTTATATATTTTTATTTTAGACTTTTTATTTTAATAATTTCTTTTCTTGGTATTGAAGTTTTTTTGTTTTATAGATTTTTTTTTTTTTTACGAAGTATTTGAGGAGCTTGTTGAACTAAGGAAAATAATCATTGAAATTTTATTGAAGCCGTGTGGTAATTGGGATGGTTCTATAAAGATGCTGGAAGATTGTTTTCATCAATGGGCTGTACCAGCTGATTTGTACTGCTTTGTATATTCTCTGCGTGATGAAAATTATTTGTAAGTTTTATTTTTTTAAATCTTTTATTTATTTATATATTTTTCAATTCACTATTTTTTTTCTCCTTTTTGTAGGAATAATGTTGATTTGGATTGCCTACTTGATAATTCTTCTCTGGAATACAATGGAAAAATCTAAGTTCATTCGTAAGTTGGATAATATTTTACACATGCGGCAAAGGTTAGATACCTCGTTTCTTGACGAGTATATACATGAATATCTTCGTGATACTTATGGAATTATTGTACCTTCTGGCTGGGGGAGTTTGGTTCCAAAGTTAGGGCCGGCTTGAGATGTCTATTGTCAGTTTGAAGCAGATATGAAGAAGGATAGTAATGACAACAATAGTAATCGGCTTCAAAGTGTCAGCCATAAAATAGTAAGATACATACGCAACTTGTTTGAACATGCAAATTCGAACTTCCCTGTACATGTATATATATAACTTTTTTGTCTTTATTTATTTATTTGTTCTGTGATCTGACTTTATTAAAAATTAATTCTTCTTTTAAATTTTTGATAGATGCGTGTGACAAAGAAGAGAATTGTTTAGATGGAAGACGATATGTTTGGAGGGATTGCTGGCCTCTTACGCCGTGCATGCAACCACCACTTTTTTTATCCCCTGTCAAAAAGCCTCAGCAATACTGAACGGTATTTAGTATCTCTGGCTGTTTTTTGTTTTTGAATTTTTTTTTTTTTTTGGGATAAATAACCAAATACCATTTAGTATTCCAAAACAAAAAACAACCACAAACACTAAATACCATTTAGTATTGCTGGGGGCTATTTGACAGGAGATAAAAAAAGGGGTGATTGCATGCACGGCGTAAGAGGAGAGCAGTCTCTCCAAACACAAACATAATATTGTCTTCCCTCTGAACAATTCTCTCCTTTTCACACGCATCTATCAAAAATGTAAAAGAAGAACTAATTTTTAATAAAGTCAAATCACAGGACAAAAAAAAATATATATACAAGTATAGGGAGGCTCGAATTTGCATGTTCAAACAAGTTGCACATGTATCTTACTATTTTACGTCTGACACTTTGAAGCCGATTACTATTGTTGTCACTGCTATCCTTCTTCATATCTGCTTCAAACCGACAATAGACATCCCAAGTCGGCCTTGACTTTGAAACCAAACTCTCCCAGCCAGAAGGTGTAAAAATACCATAAGTATCACGAAGATATTCATGTATATACTTGACAAGAAAAGAGGTATCTAACCTTTGCTGCACATGTAAAATGTTACCCAACTTCCGAATGAACTTAGATTTCTCCATTGTATTCTAGAAAAAAGAATTATCAAGTAACCAATCCAAATCAACATTATTCCTACAAAAAGGGAAAAAAAAAAAAGTGAATTGAAAAATATATAAATAAATAAAAAGCTTTAAAAAAATAAAAATAAAACTTACAAATAATTTTCATCACACAGAATACACAAAGCAGTACAAATCAACTGGTACAACTAGTTGAAAACAATTTTCCAACATCTTCATAAAACCATCCCAATTACCACACGGCTTCAATAAAATTTCAATGATTATTTCTTTTAGTTCAACAAGCTCCTCAAATTCTTCGTTTAAAAAAAAAAAAAAAATCTGTAAAACAAAAAAAAATTAAATACCAAGAAAAGAAATTATTAAAATAAAAAGTATAAAATAAAAAATAAAAAAATATATAACTTGCTAAACATACCAGATTTAGGATTATGAACAAAAAAAAGTTTCGCACAATTATTGATTACTGAAGTACCGCCAGCCGTCATTCCACTCACAATTGTAATGAATATATGCGCCGTAATCCGTTAAGTATATCCCTACCTAACAATTGTAATGAATATATGCGCCGTAATCCGTTAAGTATATCCCTACCTAACAACAATTATAACTAATTGCAAAAAATAATAATTACAAAGTATTATTATTAAACATAATAATTAGAAGAAAACAATACCTGAAAATCGCACAAAATTTGCCCTTGATAAACTCAAACCAACGAGTGTAAGGCTAACCCTTTCTCACAAATGTTGTGTATTCATCTTGAAAGTACGTTGCCAAGTCGGACCCGAATCTTTCTACTAATAAAATGTTGTTATCTAACATGAAACCATCGAAGACATATGACCTGCAAGACTTCAAGCAGATAGACCCTTAAAACGCCTCCTCATCAGTTTTATAATCCAGTGTGTTAATTTTAAAAGTTTAATCCTTAACACAATTTTGCATGGATGTATAACCATAGGAATAGTTTCCCAGGTCACCCTCAAGTACATAAATAACACTATGAGACTGTCTCTGAAGAAGATGACTGAATGGGTGTTCATCACCCAAATTCATATTTACAGAAAAATAAAAATAAAAAATTATAAAGCATACCGCTACAAATAAAATTTTTTACTACAAATAATAGAAGTTATAGAATTACAAACCCACAAATTTTACAGAATTTAAACTACAAATTTGAATATTGAATACAAACAAACAGTAATAAAATATAAAATTAAACCAAAATCTAACAATCTCGCCCTAATGTATCTGTTAAATCAATATTTCTAAATACCAAATCAACCCTAAGGATAGCTTTGAAAGAACCCTTTGGCTCATTACGGTCCTTACGCGCTCATGATGTCTCTGAAAATTGTGGACAAACCAAAAATCCAAGCAAAGGCCCTTCCATAGTTTTCAACTACTTGAGTAAATGAAATAAATATAAATTTTAGAAGTTCGGAATCTCCTTTAGCTACCTCTCAATATGGCAAGCTCATATTTCCTCATTTATGTTTCAGGGGGAATATGGAACACTGAATTCAATATTTGGTTTTATTTTACTTCATCAATTTTATTTTATTTTTTTTGTTAGTTATTCAGAGAATCTTCGTCGGATCAAATTTCCCCACTCATGAAAAGAGCAACAATCCAAAACACAAGCACTTGCCTGTATATGCCCCATTTTATCTATATCTTAAGATGTATAATGGCATTAAAATAACCTTAGATCCTTAGATGGTAAACAACAATAATGGTATGTTATACATAATAAGTCACTTTATAAGTAGGCATAAAGCCCTTTTTACTACTACATATTTCTTTGGAAATATAATCATCCAAACAAGTCTTGGAAAATTGCGGATGCCGTGTCAACATGTATAGCATGCCAATTTTATTATTTTTTCAATTTTTTACGAATTAGAATGATATTCAGGATTGCCTAGCTTTAATAAAAGGTTGCTTACCTTGATTGGCCTTGCCATGGTTGCTAGATCTTTTCCTTTCAGGCTTTCATACTTCCTAAGGATTGTCAGGCACCTTGGTTTCCTCCAAAGGAGTTACAGAGACACTTCCCTTCCCTTCAAAAAATAGAAGTTGGGGTTGCAAATGCTTTTTTGAACACATGGCAAGAACACCATCTCAACTACCAATAACCTGTTCAAATTCAAACATAAATTACACAAACTAAATGAAAGGTAAGATATAAGAATAAAATCTTGTAACTTAATTGAATGTACCTTCACTTTATCATCGTCATACAAAATCCAATTTTCTTTCGCACGGTTGTAAACAAAGCAGATGTAGTGCTCTAGGCCATAACAAACCTAAAAGGAAATTTGTTAATGAGATAAACTGTTCTTGTGTCATATTATTGATTTAGTCCAAAAACATAAATAGTGATGCCAAACTAGTAATAGTGCATTTGCTATGCTACAGGGAAAGAATGAGAATTGAGTATCAATCAAGCAAGAAGACATTCTTCAGTAAAATGGAAAGAGAAAAAAAAAATCAGCTCTAACATTCTGCTAAACCAACATTTCACAAGAAGAAAAAGAAGAAGAAAAGTGACTTTAAATGAAGCCCATAAGCAATAGAACTTGGGGAAATTTGTTTACTAAATCCATCATGAAAAATGGAACTAAATGATAGAAGAGTATAAAGCTAAGGCAAGTTTACCATTGAAATAAGATAATGTGTGTTTCTTGGATCTAAACCCTCGTACATGACACCAATATCAATCTTGGTACTCAGAACTCCCAATGTTGCAGATATTTTACGTGCAGGCTCTTCAAGACTCTCCCAACTAAGAATTGCAATTAACAAATCAAAAACTAGTAAACAAAGAACACAAAGCGTAATGAAATATTTTCAAACAACTTATAATTTACCTATTGTGAACACGTGGAGGAGTTGAAAGAATACAGTGAGGAATATTTGTTTTGCTACAGCAGCCACAACTATTCTGATGTTTTTCCCTTATATCGCGTTCAAAAGCTCATTCAGATGATCATGCTGAGTTGGGAAATAACACAACTTTAAAAGACATATCTAAAATGGACTTTTCTTTTCTTTCGCTATAACAAGAAAAATTGACAATTTATCATAAAATGCTTCAGAAAAAACATGCCTTCAATTGTCTGATTGCAGACGCATTTGCCCATTTCCAAAGATAATTCATTTGTGGGGATTCAACAGTACTACAAGCGTTACAGTTCAATTTTTCAATTATGTTCATTACAAAAACTGTATGTGCTATACAAGCATCACTATCACAATTCCGAGTCTACGTAACTGCTTCCGGGTAATTTTAGTATCAGAACCAAAAGTAAATGACCAATGAAGAACATCCAAAATAGCTTCAGAAGCATCATTCTTTTGTCCCTGTAAAATCAAGCACATCAGCAACCGAAGTTGCATAGGAAACAGAAGTGACGTCTAAATTTATAACTTTGAAGAAGGGTGAAAATATGATGACAAGACCATCAAAATTGTCTACTCCCTGGAAATTACCATCTTGCCATTTGCTCTGAGCAATTCTTAAAGTGGTAGGAGAAACAGCATCATCTCCTTCCTCAGCTTCTCTTAGGGCAGTGAAAATACCATGTAATTCGCAAACAATACAGGGATCTTTGATATGAGCATGAGCAGGTGTTGATCTTCTCAAAAACTTGCCTCTAAATGTTCTTAAATGCCAGAAAGCCTGCATATTGACAAAAAGGTTGATAAAATGAATTCATTATCATACTTTGGTTAAAGGGGATAGAAAATGAAATTTATACCTAGACCCCCAAAAAAGGAAAACTCCTTGAACAGAACACCAACCTGTACAATCACATTTATAAAGCAATTGTTTTCACCAACATTTCTCAGTCCTGGCCCTAAATCAGTGGAGCAAGCAACATCCATTTCTTCCACCTCCTCTGCAATGGATGCAACTGCATGCTTATTTTGCTTGGCTAGACTTGTACGCTTATCCTCTTCCGCAATCTGCCTTTGATACTCCAACTTCTCTTCGAGCTTTCTTTCCTCCACATCATGCCCAATTTCATGCTTAAGTTCCTCTTCCTGTAGCCCCAATTCATCAGCTCTTGCAGCAACAACAATCACAGAACTAGGATAATCACCATTGTAGCTAACAGGAAAGTGACTGGAGGAAGACACAGATCGAAAACCCAGATTAAACTTAAAATGCGCATTAGAGCCGATAGTAGAAAAAGGCCGTGATCTTTTAATAATTTTCTACATTGCTATCTGTGGCTGAGAGACAATTTAGGACTTACACTTGTTCTTCAGTTTCCTCTTGCGGCACATACAGGTCATCACCTTGAGTAACCTGCAATGCTATGAGTATTAGACTGAACTTGTACAAAACATGTAAGACATACATGACAGCAACCTTGATGGTAAAAAACACAACCAGAGTCTAAAGTTAAAAACCTTTGGATCCTTATTTTTTCTCCGATTTTTATTCTTTTTCTTGGACTCAAAATTTTTCTTCTTCTTGGCTTCCAGTTCAATCTCTGATAAAAGTGCTTCTCTTGCAGCATCTGCCTTCTTTGTGTCTCTGTCGACCAAAACCTCAAATAGTTCCTGGAATAGAAAAATTCTGACTAATTTAAATTTAGATCCAAGAAAGTTGGATAACATTGCAGAGAATTATGCTGCATTAAAAAGTCAAACCCGCATGAATGACTTCAGAAGGGGCAGAATGATGAACTGATAGCCATGCGTAGATGCCTGCGTAACGTTAACAATCCTCATGACCGATGCTAGATGCTTGCTAAACTGCAGGATTGAGCATAATGAGCACAGGAAAAAAATATATATATAACAAAACTTTACTTGAGAAAAATCAAAGCTCAGGAATCATGCCTGAGAAATATGCAATATAAACAAGTTGAAAAAGGAAAATATTATGAAAATAAATATTCAAAAACAAAAATAAGTAATCAGAAAGAACAGTAATTAATCATCAAATTTTTTTTAGAGATTTCATAAATGAGAAAAATAGAAAGGACGCATTTTGCTCCAAAATTATAAATTAAACATTATGGTCAACAAATTTAGTCTCATATCAAATTGTTGAAATCCACAGCCTCAGCTCTGTAAATTGTATTTTCATTATTAGAGGCAAATGAGGTCAAGTATCATATTATGTACATAAAGAAACAAACCATACTTGCTGTTGTAAACTTTCCGAGAGAAACGAGCCCACGACCTGGTGGCCAGCATCTGTAACCACCATCTTGATGACCTGAAAAAAAGAATTGATATCAGATGCCAGAAAGCGAGGAAGGGAGAGGGTATAGAATTAACTTATTTATTTATTTTTAGATTGGAAGAAAAGCAATTATTTTTAGATTGGTTTTTTTAGATGGTGTTTGGGAAGTAGGTTTTTATAGATGTAGGATATTATTGAAGAAATTTTTTTTTGTGTTTGGGAAGATAGTTGGGTTTTTTTGTGATTGGATGTGATGTTTGTGAGAGAAAAAAGTGAAATGATTATGGGGTTGGATGTGATATTTTGTTTGGATGTGTTTTTTTTGGTTTTGCGAAATTTGTCTTTAGTGGAAAAAATGAGAAAAAACCCAACTAAAATTCTTCCCAAACATCACCTTAGTGACTCTCTGACTTTTTGGCTAAAAAAGCCATTTGCCAAATGAGGCCTAAACAACCCAAAAACTATATTCTTATCTAGGTTTTTAAACAAATCCAAAACTATCCAAAGATTACAGAAATCCATTCATCAAAGTCATATCCAAAACTATCCATACCTGTGCAACAACTTTTGATGTGGTAATGCTCCAAATCCAATAGTTGTGCTATCACCATTGTTATCACCACTCTTTGCTTCCTAGACAAACAAGGAAGTGAAATGAGCATAGAATTTTTAATTCTTCATAAAAGTACTGATAAAACTTCCAAAACTTAGAACAAGTAACAATGAGGCTATGGATTTAGAAAAATTCCATTTCCAGAATTTTTAGATCATTTTCCACTATACTTCATTTAAAAAGTAACTAAAATTCATCTGCCTGGTAGAAGATTATTTTGAAACATTGTTTCTTGATAGAACTCTTCAGAAATGTGTGTAGTAAAAATTTGGAAATTGATCCAAAAGAGAGAGAGAGATGAATAACCAGAGCCTAAAGGTGGTCCCGATAATATTTTGGATTGGACCTTGACCTTCTCTGGATTTGAATTTAATACAGGGGTCATCTAATAATAGCTTGGATGCAATGTTGGGGGTCCCAGTTTCAATTTTATTACAAATAGCACATCTTACTTTATTAAAACTATCATTTTTTGTTATTATTTAAAAATCATTTTTTATGTTTGGATTAGAATTTTATATCTATAAGAACAAAGAGAAACTCTAGCATTCCTTAATTAGATCTAAGGAAGAGCTCGCATCAGACAGATGAACTATGTGAAGATGAGCTCCTTCAGCAGGGCCACCAGCCCTTGCGTCGTTTGCTACTGTTAAGAGCTCTCTATTAGCTGCCTCTTCCTTAGTCATCATAGTAAAAATGAGCGGAAGGAGAACATTATCCATCCATTTAAGATGAAATTAACATAAATCACGCAAATCATAGTATGTAAATACATTCATCCTAAAATTCACACGAGGCATTCCTTTCATACTTTGAAGGTAGAAGTAGATAAACGCAAATATGACTGAAAACTAGCAGCCTTTAAAATAATGTATTTATGTAGTATGATTTGCTTGATTTATTTGGATGCACAGTAGAACGTAGAGAAATCAACTTACTTTTCAGGAAAGGAACTTGAGCAATATTTTAAAACGAAGCAAGCCTAGTCTTGAGATATGTTGAATAGGATTGAGGGTCATCTGCAATATCTTCAAGTTCTTGTTGAATCTCTGCATGTACAAGTAAAAGTCTTCTATACTTTGCCAGTATGGACAATCCTTCCTACAGGTGAATAAGATCAACTTCATTAGAAAATTATTCATTTAGTGTGGGGTTGGGGGGGGGGGGGGGGGGTGTGTGTGTTAAATTAAATTAAATCAGCCAACTGTTAAAATGGTGCACGATGAGAGGGGACATGAGTGTGCATCAAAGTTTTTTTTTAAAAAAAAAATGTATATTGCACTGTACATTAAAAAAAATAAAAAAAATAATCTGTGAACTTGTGGATAAATTTGGAAATGCATCAGTAAACATCAAAGATGTGGCAGCAAATAACACCGTCATTTATTTCATATGAAAAACAATTAGTCATTGTAATATGTGGTCTAAATATCACCAAACGCACCTTAATATGGTCAGCATTTGTCATGGGAAAGTCATTGATCCCCAAAGGACACATAAAGGACTACAGCAAAGAGCAAAAAATGTCAGATTTAATACATGGTTCTCCAACAACTGGAAGAATGGGAAAGAATAACACATGCACACAGATTATCAAAGAGAATTGGCAATCAAGCCAAGAAAAAAAAAAAAAGTTTTCTGATATCCCACGTATTGAGCAACATTGTAGCAACAAGTAGTACATTAAATGAAAGGGAAAGAAAAAGAATACGGATAATTCCCTACCTATAAACCAAGAACACCGGCGTTGATCGTACTAAAAGAGCTAGCACTACAAATAATTGGCAAAGAGTAAGAAGAGAAGTACTTAAATGTTCTTTTATATGAGAAGTTATGTGTGAGCTATCAACTCGATCCACTCAAATAATTGGCAGAATAGTACAATGATTAATTTGACTAAATACACCTTTGATTAGTTATTTGTGATGCAAACACCTTCCAATATGGGTTGTCAGGAGGTTTCGCTTATAGAAACCAGATTGGATCCTCAAAATGTGCCGCTGCTCTCTGCTCTCTGTCTCTCTCTCTCCATAAAGGGCAGCAACATAATAATTTATTTTTGTAAATTGTAACCAATATCATCATTATGAATGGAGTTGAGTAAATGATACGAGCTCTTTTGGTAGGATTTTTTCTTTCTTATTTTGGCAGGATATGAGTTGTTTTTGGTGGGAGATTAATCACGTCAAAAAGAATCCATCACTGCCTGTAGTTGATACAATTCTTCTGCAGAAAAACAGAATCTGAAACTTTATTAGACATCTCGTAGAACTATAAATTGCACCATCTTCAAGGTCACTTCACTAAAAGTTTTCATCAATAATAGGCTTTTAAAATCCAACCAAGTCTGATTTTTTAATTGTTCCAAATTTCCTTGTCAAAATTTCTCTTTAAGTGAGTTGAGATAGGCTTATGATGATTATTGCAAGTTTACTATAATGATTTTTAAAATGAAAATTGAAGAGCTAAACAGAAAGATATAAACATGCTTTTAACTTTAAGCAGCCTCCATGGTAAAAAATGAAAAACTAATGGTGCTAGCCATCCATACCTTAAGTTCAAAAGCTTCTTTGGCAACTGTGGATGGAAAACTATTAAGAGGCATGTCAACCAATGTTGTTAACCCACCTGTATAAATGAAGTTAATTAAGTAATTAGTTACATGTTGCCAATAAAAGTTTGATTTACAAAGTCAACGACCAAATATAATTAGATACAACAAAGAAATGAAATATTATTTCTATATATATAAGGTAACCAATAGGGTTACGAATTATTATAGAATGAGACATGTACTCAAAAGGTTTTTAAAGCATTAGCTTCTGAGAAATCTATGAACTCTTCTCTTAAAGATGATCAAAGCAAGACAAGATATAAAGGACCAAGATCTACAAACTGTAGTTTTAGAGAAGAAAAGAGTTCGGGAATGAGTTAGACTTTATTCCCTTTTACATTGATAATTCTGAGCAATTACAGGAGTGCCATAAGGCATAATTCTAAGCAATCAATCAAGAGAATAAATAAGAATACAATCAATTATTTCCTATTCTAACACTCCCCCTCAAGCTGGTGCAAAGATATCTCTCATGCCCAGCTTGTTGAGAATGCCATGAAAGGATTTGCTTCCTAGTCCCTTGGTGAGAATATCAATTAGTTGGTCCCCAGTCTTCACAAATGGAATACATAGGGTGCCACTAGTAACTTTTTCCTTGATAAAGTGCCTATCAAGCTCCACATGCTTAGTTCTATCATGCTAAACTGGATTATGAACTATGTTGATTGCAGCCTTCTTGTCACAGTATAGTCGCATGGAGTTAGTCTAATGAATTCCCAAGTCTCCCAACAATAGTTTAATCCATAGTAACTCACATACACCCTGAGCCATAGCCCTGAATTCTGCCTCAGCACTAGATCAAGCAATCACATTCTGTTCTTACTTCGCCGTGTGACTAGATTGCCACCAACAAATGTGCAGTATCCAAAAGTTGATTGTCTGTCAATGATTGATCCTACCCAATCTGCATCAGTAAATGCCTCCACACTGAGATGGCCATGTTTTGAGAAGTAGAGACCCTTTTCAGGAGAAGATTTCAGGTATCTCAGGATTCCCATAACTACCTCTAAGTGGGAAGTTCTAGGAGTATGCATAAATTGGCTCACCATGCTCACGGCAATGGCAATGTCTAAACGTGAGTGGGATAAGTATATGAGCTTACCCACTAGTCTCTGGTATCTCCCCCTGTTCACTGGCTCTCCCTCTTGATCCTCACTGAGTTTCTGGCCTGGTTCTAGAGGTGTATCACATGGTCTACCTCCAAACAGTCCAGTTTCCTTTAGCAAATCAAGCACATATTTTCTCTGACATATAAAGATGCCATCCTTGCTCTTAGCTACTTCAATACCTAAGAAATACTTCAAACTACTGAAGTCTTTGATTTCAAACTACCCAAGTCTTTGATTTCAAACTCCTTGGCTAAGTATTCCTTCAACCGAGGGATCTCCTCAACGTCATTCCCTATCAAAACAATAGCATCAACATAAACAATGAGAGTTGTGGTCTTACCATGTGAGGAGTGTTTCACAAACAAGGTCTGATCAGCTTGACTCTGCTTGAACCCATATTTCAGCATAGCTTGAGCAAACCTTTCAAAGTAAGCCCTAGGGGACTGCTTTAGTCCATAAAACGACTTTCGGAGCCTGCGTACTTTACCTTTGGACTTAGCATCTGCAAAACCAAGAGGAATATCCATATCGACCTCTTCTGCTAGGTCTCCATGAAGGAAGGCATTCTTCACATGAAACTGATGACGTGACCAATCCAAATTTGCAGTAAGAGAGAGTAAGATTCTCATAGAGTTCATCTTAGCAACCGGTGCAAATGTCTCCTGGTAATCTACTCCATAAATTTGAGTGAAGCCTCTAGCAACCAATCTTACTTTGTACCGTTCTATGGAACCATCTGCTTTGTGTTTTACCGTGTACACCCACTTACACCCAACTGGTTTTTTTCCTCTATAACTCTACTAACTCCCAAGTGCCACTTTTGTTGACAGCTTTCATTTCTTCCATCATGGCATGTTTCCATTTAGGAATAGAGAGAGCATCCTGAAAAGTGGTAGATAGACTCACAGAAGATACTTTAGATAGAAAGGCTTTATATGAGAAAGACAGATTAAAATAAGAGACATGATTAGTAATAGGATGCTGAGTACATGACCTAACTCCCTTCCTATTAGCAATATGAACATCAAGATCAGGAACACCAAGAATAGGAGTACTAGAATTAGAATTACTTGGACTCTTAGGAGATGAGGTTGACATAGACTCACAGAAGATACTTTAGATAGAAAGGCTTTATATGAGAAAGACAGATTAAAATAAGAGACATGATTAGTAATAGGATGCTGAGTACATGACCTAACTCCCTTCCTATTAGCAATAGGAACATCAAGATCAGGAACACCAAGAATAGGAGTACTAAATTAGAATTACTTGGACTCTTAGGAGATGAGGTTGACTCTGAACACTCATCCGGAGAAGAAGTTGGCAGTAGTGGAGGGAGAGTAAGCTCTTGTATCTAAGTGACTTGCTGTCTATCCTTGTCCCTAATATAAACTTTGCCTGCTTCCTTGTCCTCAACAACTGCTGGCTCATCACCCTCTATCTGTTCAACCACTGGTGGAAGAGAAACAAGTGGAAAAAGAATCTCTTCACACCAAGGCTCCCCCTGAAGAGATGACTAGGATACCGGGAAAGGCGGAAAGTAAGGCTGAGACTCAAAGAACGTGACATCAATGGAGACAAACCATTTGCGAGTGGGATGGTGATAACACTTATAACCCTTTTGGGTGGCAGAATAACCCAAAAAACACACTTAAGTGACCTAGGATCCAATTTACCACGAGTAGGAGAATGATTATGGACAAAGCAAACACAACCAAAGATCTTAGGAGAAATGGAGAACCCAAAAGAGATAGACCCGAACAAAACTTGAAAAGGTGTTTGTTTTTGAAGGACTTGGGTAAAAGACGATTAATCAAATAAGCAGCAGTGAGAACCGCTTCCCCCACGCATCTCAAAGGATAGACAATGGGCAACATCAAGGAGATGGCAATTTTTGTGTTCCGCAGTAACATTTTGTTGAGGGGTATTAGTGCATGAAGTCTGGTGAATAATATCATGTGTGGCGAAGTAATTGACAAGACCAGAGCCAATATATTCCCCCCCATTATCCGAACGTAGAATTTTGACAACCGTCCCAAACTGAGTACAAACCATTTTATGAAAGTTTTGAAACACAAAAAAAATATCACTTTTATCTTTCATCAAATAGACCTAAGTGGCCTTGGAACAATCATCTATGAAGGTAACAAACCATTTTTGACCAGTTAAAGACACAAAACGGGATGGATCCCATACATCAGAATGAATCAAAGAAAAGAGAACTAAACTTTTATTAATAGAAGAAGCAAAAGAGGCTCTGTGTTATTTTCCAAGTTGACAAGACTCACATTGAAAATCTGACACATTATTTTTCTCCAAAACAGAGAAAAATAAATGCTTAAGTAATAAAAAAGAGGGATGTCCTAAGTGATGGTGCCACAGCCAAATGTCTTCCTTGGTGGATGATAACTAAATAGATTAATGAGCCAGTTTGTCCATCTGATCTAGAATGTAGAGCCCATGTTCCTCTCTACCACTGTTGATTTTCTTTCTCGTGATAAGGTCTTGAAAAAGACAATGATCAGGAAAAAATGTCACGTTACAATTTAAGTAACGGGTGATATGACTCAAAGATGAAAGATTAACACTGAAATTGAGAACATGAAGGACAGAAGACAAAGGAAAGGAAGAAGTGACATGAATTAAACATTTTCCTAACACAGAGGAAATGGTACCATCAGCAAAACGCACTTTTTCCTGACCTGAGGAGGGGTTATACTCTAAAAATAAATTAGCGGAGCTAGACATATGATCGGAACATCGGAATCAATAATCCATGGTACAGTCGTATGAGATAGCAATGCACATGGGGAGGAAGCCAAGTTACCTAAATTGGCAAAGGAAGAAGAGAGTGCACCTGTAGCAGAAATAGAGGCTCGACGATCTAGCAAGTGGCGAAGAGCAATCTCAAAATCCGAGGTAGATAACCCCGAAACATCAGCAGCGGAGGAGACAACTGGAGATAAAGATGGTGGTTCAATAATGTCTGAAAAATGGACTCGTGCATTGGCCCCGCGGCCTCTAGTACCAAACTGACCCCCTCGAGTACTAGGACGGTCCACCAGAGGGAGTGCCATGCAGCTTCCAACAAGTCTCTCGTGTGTGGTGAGGTCGACGACAGTAGTCACAGTAAAGATTATCCTTCTCAAAGGAAGGACGAGAACCACGAGTCACACAGTCGCCATCGCGAGAGGGTGCGGAAACCAAGGCCGAGCGATCAATAGTAATAAAAGGAAGCATCACAGAACGGCAACTCTCCTCATTTTGCACAAAAACAAAGGCTTCCTGGAGAGAAAGACGCACATCTATGCCAAGTACTCTGTCTCAAACCGGATCATACTCCACATTTAGGCCTTCCAAGAACTTGAAGACCAGCTTTTGCGCCACAAACTTCCGGTAACTAGCAGAATCAATGGGACAGACAGGCTTGTAATTCTGAAGGTGATCAAGCCGCTTCCACCCATTGCTAAGGAAGATAAACTACTGAAGGATAGTCTTCTCACCTTGTACCATCCATTCAATAGAGCGACATAACTCGAAAGCCTGTGAAAAGTTCCCCTTCCTGGAGTAAGTAGTTGCTACGGCCTCCCAAATATCCTGGGCAGTGTCCATAGACAAGTAGCTCTCTCTAATCTCCGGAACCATAAAATGGATCAACCAGCCCATAATCAGAGAATTAGTGATCTCCCACTGGTCATAATGAGAGTCGGTGATACTGGGTGCCTAAACCAGCCTATTAACATATCCCATCTTCCCATTGCTCTTCAAGAAAATAGTCAGAGTCTGCGACTACGCTAGATAATTCTGACCATTGAATAGAGATGTGGTGATTCTAAGGCCAGGGCGGAGGGTATCAGTCATAGTAGAAGGGTTTGCCATGGAACACTACTAACTACTCCTCAACCACAATGCCAATCACAAACCTAGAAGATGAGAGTGGAGGGACAAGCACAATAGTAACTAGAAACTCATAAAGAAGTAAGAAACATTTTTTTTTTTTTTTTATGTAACTAATGAACCATTACAAGTCAAGAGGAAGAGAGAAGAACACACTGACTATTCAATCGAGAGAGAGTTGATGGCAGCCTAGGAGATGCAGACAGAAGCCAAGGAAGCCAGAGGGATTGTCGACAGGCCCCCTAGTGGACTGAGGATGGCTTGGATGGACTGTGGGATGACAGACGATGGCCTGGGTAAGAGGCTACTGTGGCCAACTGGGCTTCTGGGGAAGAAAGAGCTGCCAGCAAACAAGAAGAAGGTATGGGCTAGGGTTTAGGCTCTGATACCATGTAGTTTTAGAGAAGAGAAAGAGTTAGGGAATGAGTTAGACTACATTCCCTTTTATATTGATAATTCTGAGCAATTACAAGAGTGCCAGAAGGCATAATTCTGAGCAATCAATCAAGAGAATAAATAAGATTACAATCAATTATTTCCTATTCTAACACAAACTAGCGGTAGCCGCTCTAGTCCCTGAAAGAAATCCTTGCCATTCTGTTCTTCTAGGGTCATCGAGATGTTCATGCCTACCATGAAGGTAACTTGTGAATATCATATCAAAGAGAATTTAAAAGCCTGAAAATTACTTTGATCAATGATCCTCACATAAGTTTTTCAGCAAATACATGAATCAAGTGAACGGGAATCCAATATCACTAGAGAACAATGATGTCATCTAGGAAAATTCGACATTCCAAGAAAAATTGTGAATGAGACCACCAATATAATGCAAGAGAAAATTTTACTACAGAGAATGAGTGTTCAAAATAAAAGATGGGTTTTGATTGTTTACTAAACAAATTAAAAATAGTAACAACCATGGCAAGTAAACATTCTTTATAAAAATAAAGCAAAGCTTTCTAAAGCTACACCAAGGCCATAGCAGCCATTCCAGAAAGACCAAAACTAACTGAAAATGATCAAACCAAAAGCATAATGTAGCCAGCAAACAGAGCAAGAGAAAAGGCACATGGGGTAAAAATTGACTTATAACATTGTCCAATTATTTCAAGATGGTATACAGCATCTTGGACGTGGACTAATGGGAATTTGTGCTCCAATTCAACATTCTAGTGTAAGTTGTAGAAATGTTTTTATTTTAATTTTTAGCCAAAGCCTTTTGGATTCCATTTTAAAATAGTATTTTGTATGCATTGAACGTTGAAAGCATATGGCTTTTTTTGAAATGTGCCTTCTGGATTTTTTGAAATCTCCAAGCAGTCAATGTTGTATGCTACATTCTAATCGTGCTTTATTTATATATTTTGTTATATCTATCTTTCTAGAGAAAAAAAAAAGGCATAAATTGTAGTGCAAGTTTTTTTTAAGAAGAAAACAAATTGATAGGTACTATTGTTCCCGTTTACTTCTTGAAGGTGAACATATAATTTTTTCCTTAGCTGCTATGTTTGTTGTAATCTTCTTCACTTTGGTATAGTTTTCTCTCTTGCAATTGAAGGTTGTTCATTGTGGCTTGCCATACGTAAGTGTTCCATGGGAGCTAATTTTAATTTAATTTAATTTTTTTTTTATTTAAATGGATGGCTTTTCTAAGCTTATATTTGGTTTAAAATTTGTATGGGTGCTTTAAGTTTTCCATTGTCCCATGTCTCCATGTTGATGCTAGAGATAAGAATGTCATAGTACCACTTGACATAAACAAACACACACCAGCCCCAGAATTTTTGTTCAAGAGTTGTATGGTTATTCTAGATTGCATGTGTGCACACATACTAGCACGGTGGGTAAGTTCAAGGTTAGGTGGGTGTGTGATTTGGGACTTTCTCTTGCCAAAGTACTCCTGGCTTTTGCCAACTCAAATGACTATGAATGGAAACAAAATTTTGAAATCTCCAAGCAGTCAATGTTGTATGCTACATTCTAATCGTGCTTTATTTATATATTTTGTTATATCTATCTTTCTAGAGAAAAAAAAAAAAAGGCATAAATTGTAGTGCTAGTTACTTTTTTAGAAGAAAACAAATTGATAGGTACTATTGTTCCCGTTTACTTCTTGAAGGTGAACATATAATTTTTTCCTTAGCTGCTATGTTTGTTGTAATCTTCTTCACTTTGGTATAGTTTTCTCTCTTGCAATTGAAGGTTGTTCATTGTGGCTTGCCATACGTAAGTGTTCCATGGGAGCTAATTTTAATTTAATTTAATTTTTTTTTTATTTAAATGGATGGCTTTTCTAAGCTAATATTTGGTTTAAAATTTGTATGGGTGCTTTAAGTTTTCCATTGTCCCATGTCTCCATGTTGATGCTAGAGATAAGAATGTCATAGTACCACTTGACATAAACAAACACACACCAGCCCCAGAATTTTTGTTCAAGAGTTGTATGGTTATTCTAGATTGCATGTGTGCACACATACTAGCACGGTGGGTAAGTTCAAGGTTAGGTGGGTGTGTGATTTGGGACTTTCTCTTGCCAAAGTACTCCTGGCTTTTGCCAACTCAAATGACTATGAATGGAAACAAAAAAATGTCCTCCTAAGATTCAATTAGGAAACTTGACTCGGGTAAATATGTTTATTCAATAAAAGAATTACCCAGGAAACAATAAGCCTACTAGAAATTGGAAATTATAAACATATCTTATGAACTATTGCTAGATTGGTCCTATATGTTTGCTTTGTTCAGTATTAGCTGAGAAAAAGGGAATGTGAACTATAATTGCAGCTTCCTATTTTTAACAAATATAATTTTTTTTATTATTTAAATTAGTAAGCTTTTGAAAGAACTTATGTATTCCCTTTAAAATCTACTTTCGAATATTACATAAACAAATCCCCCAAAACTAACACCGGGCATTCCTTATTAAAGATTTCCATCAAACTAGAAAGGAGATAAACATTACTCATTACATTACTCAAGTCACCAGTGGACACAAGGAGTGGCTAGGGGCACCATGGCCCCTGTGATCCTTTCAAAGAACATAATTAAGTATATGCACTAGCTGCCATGTACTAACTCACATCTTCATTTTTTGTTGTCTTGTGTCATAGGCCCTCAATTTCTTATTCTTCCACTACAAGCAAAGATATAATTTTTTTTAGTTCCATGAATTACTAGCGGGTGTGCTTTTTACTCTTTTATACTAGTTCGCGTGGGGGTCACGACATTGTTAGCGTCAATAATTGAAATGTACATGTAAAATATGAGATGTCCCAAGGGGAGACAGAGAATAACATTAGAGGGACATACTCATTTGTTCATCCAAATCACAGAGAAAATTTCTTAACCCCGATAATTTGTCTCAATGATCAATTACACCCCTAGACTTTGAATAATGTCAATTTTATCCCTATACTCTTTGAAATTGTATCAATTTAGCCCCTACCGTCAAATTTGAAATGGAAAAAGTTAAAAATTACATTTTGACCCCAATTTCAAAAGAAAGATGCAAACTCACCCTCTTCTACTCAAATCCACCATCTCCTGAAACCCTCTCCAAATCCAAACCCCAAAACCCCTTCTTCTTCAACCTCTCTCATCCTTCTCTGTTCTAGTATTTTATACTCACTTTCACACACACACACACACACATATATATATATATATATAGAGAGAGAGAGAAAGAAAGGAGGATAGAGAAGATGAAAGGAGAATATGTAGAGGAAAATGATCCCACACCTCCGATGAAACCAACAGTCCCACCACCGCCACCATGCAATCACTTGTGAAAAGATTCGCATCCTCACATTCAACTAAAATTTGATAACAAAGTAATAATAATGATAAATAACCATTGAACTTCCTATCTATAAACATCAAAATTCATATCATACAACTCAAAATAATATGCAAATGTGTTAAGTAGATATCGAAAAAAAAACTAAAAACCCTCACCAGAAATCCTATCACTGAGACCGAGCACTCGACACAATTCAATAACTTGCTGATACCTTGCAGCAATGGCAACAAAATCAATATGTTCCTCTATGTGGGTGTTTGGGAAGTTGTTATTTGAGTAGGGTATTTTAGTTTTTGGCTATTTTAGAAGACTAAAATTTTTGTGTTTGGGAAGATGATTAGATTCAACTGTGTTTCCCCAACCTTGAATTCACATTAAGAAAGAAATTATTTTGGAAAAATTTCTTGTAATGCACCGAAAATGTGGTAAAATTTTAATCTGTCTTTTAAAAGTTTAAACTTTGTAAAGAGAAGTGTAATTTAATCTTTATCCACTTGAAGGGGAAAAAAAGTGTTTGGATTGAAAAACAGATCTAAGAGTTACGTGAAATCTTTCTTGCAGTTTGCAAAGTCACTCTGACTTTCACATTTTCTTCAGTTGTCAATAGATAGTAAAACTACCACTTACCCATCAACGACAAATACAAACATTTGATAGGACCTAGGCATGTAGTTTGAAGTCTATGTGACAAATGCAATTATGCTGGCTTCACTTGGGAAAACACTTTGAAAGAAGGAAATGGTCCAGAAAAGGAGTTTCACATAGAAACCCACTCTTTTTTGTTTTATTTTATTTTTTTTTAAAAAAAAATTAATTAATTTACAAAAGTCCATATGTAGAGGCCACCAATCTATTTTGCCTGTGGACCAAGACAACAATAAGTGGAGAGGCTGGTGAAATGAAAACAATTTAATTTTTAATTTTCCAAAAATAAAAAATCCAATAATTTGCATGTGCATTTTTTCTTTTTCTTTTTTCTATTGCATTTCAGAAAGTATGTATGATGAGGGACGTGTTCAATCCAACAATAAGAAAAAAAATAGAATCGATCCTGCTACTTGGATACGGACAGCATGAAAAGGAGACTCTTTGAAGCAGATATACTAAGAATTATTGTAGTACTTGATAACTAACCTTTGGGAGCCAGCAACTTTGTACTTATGAACAGGAAGAACATTTATCTCTTCCTCAGTCATTGAAGAAACCGTGGGAACATTACCAGAATCCAGTGCTCTTAAAGTTTGATAATTTGAGTTTAGCAAACAAATGGCTTTTAAAAACCTGATTTAGTTTACCTAAATGAAGTTTTTATGCTTCCGGGAAAAGAAAAAAAAAAGGAGAACTAAAATTGTGTACATCACCTCCTTTGTATCATTTTTCAGTTCATTTGTTGTTGAATCTTCGAGCCAGACCATAGTGAACTTCAGAAAATCAAAATAGTTAAAATTTAGATTTAGTTTACATGTGGTTTTAAAATTGATTAGAATTTGAGTAGTTGAATTTTTTAAGATTGATTCGAGTATCTGCAATTTTTAAGATTTGAATTTGAATTTAATTTCAAGAATTCATGTTAGACACACAAACATTTAAATTAGATTAGATTCCCTCAAGTTCCACAACTTTAGTATTTATTATTAGCAAGCGTCGCTTGTGTTGTCAATATTATTCGATTTTGTTTCATGGACCTCCAATATAATTATATCCGTCATTCCTAATCGAAAAAACATTCAATGAATAACTGAACAAGGTGTTGACAATCATACACAAACATCTAAATTACATTCTCCACAAGTTAAAAGCAGTTTGGAATACTACACCGATCATTTGTATTGTCTAAAATATCATACATTATTCCTAATCCAAAACCAGTTCAGCTAATACAAGAGCAACGTGTTTTCCAATCACACATAAACATCTAGAAACCAGCTTAGTAAAACAATCACTTTTGTTTCCTTGAGTTGGGAAAATTTTGCAAAGCAAATAAAGAGAAACATAAAGAATGTAAAGGCAGTCTGAAGTATATCATTTTTCTTTTTTTGGTGATGGGCTTAGACCTAACCCCTTTGTCTAATAGCGATTTTGTTGTGTTTGCTTTGTTTTATAATGATGCAGAGTTCAAATGGATTAGGTATACAAGCTGTAAGTGGTACAGACTTTTGTGAGATTACGCTACAGTTTCCTAGTGACACTGACTCCAAATGGGTAGGTTTTTATTTTATTTTATTTCATTCATTAAATTACATTAAAGGCCAGCTTAGTCCAATAATAAAGATTGTCTTTAGCGTCCTTGATGGCGTGGGTTCAAGTCACAAAAACCAAAAACTTACAACTCATAACCAAACATACGACTCAAAAATCTATTAAAAGCTCATAAGAAAATTTTAAAAATTCCGAAAATATTGTTTTATTAAATTTTTTTTTTTTTTAAATTCCAATTGCAACCAAAAAAAAAAAAAAACTTGTCCTGTTCCAGTTGACCGGTCGGACGACTAGTTTAGCCAAATTTCAAAAAAAAAAAAAAAATCCCACCTAACGCAGTTTTCTTTTTGTTGAGGAAATATAAATTGAAAAATGTATCCAAACATGGCATTGGAATGTAGGGGTGGAATTATAGTTTGAAAATCTATCCAAACACAGCCTAAGTGTCTCCCTTATTAATTCAGGAGGAGATAAATACACATGAGAAGTAAAATCTAATCAATTCCAAAATATAGCAAGAGAGGCTGATATTTGGCATAATATAAAAGGCACACCACCCCTCTAATCCACAATGGATGCAATCCAAACAAAAGAATAGATTCAATTTGTAGAAGACAATCAAAGTGACTCATTGTGGGATACAAAATGTTTGCATACATGAATTTAGATATCTGGTTGAATTCTTCAAATATCTCATCAACTTCATATGTAATCTCTTCTCTTTAACAAATCTGGGGTCCAAAGACTGGTAGGTTTGGTCTATAATAGGTGATTTCAAGGGCACCCACAAATCCAGTTTTACTGTAATCAAATATCTGGGTTAGGATTAGATGTTTTGAATCTGATTTTCAACTTTAGAATTCTAAACTTTTCCCGGGTTTATTGAATTTTGGTTTGAGTTTTGAAACTTATTACGGATGTAAAGTAGTAGGGAGATAGATGTTCAGATTGAAGTTTTGTGGGAGATTATGTTGTGAACATAACTGGTACATTTTAAGATGCAAGAGGATTATTCTGAAACTTGCATACAGAAATTGTTGTATATGTCTCCACTCTAGAGGCATCAAATATCACCCTAAAGCCTTTTATTTCATTACTTGAGTTTGTTATCTATCCAGAAGAGTTTGAGATATCTTCCTCTCTTTTCATATTCACATCTACCCTTCTTCTAAAGGTTTGGTCCTTTTCACCAACGATCCTTGATATAGTAAGTGGCGATCAGAGGATCATGGTTGTGGTCTGAGCCTACACTGTGTTGGTCATAGTGTAGGCTGTCTGTGCATGACAGCCACTGCCCTTTCTTTATTTATGTTTTTTATTTTTAAATCAATGGGTTAGTGTCGATTTCACTCTTACCATGTCTTGTCCAACTAATTTCCTTACACGAATAAAGCAGACAATTTTGTCTAAATTTAATAAGGAATCAAAAAGTGTGCTACTTTCTCCTACAAAATAAACAAAATTTGAATTAATTTTTGGCTTTGCTAAACTTGGTTAGGCTTAGTCAGCCATATAGTCAAGCAGATGGTATGCATAATTTGTCTATGCACTAACAAACATCAATCTAATACAGAAACATAGAGATCAGGTATTGACATCTCCATAGAAGACAAAGAAATAGCAAACCAAAAAATTACATACCAAATAGTATGGATTTGCATCTGGTCTGTGAAAGAAAAAAGCATACAGGGTTCAGCCCAAATACAAACTGCAGAATAAAGGAAGATACAACACTCAAACGAACATTCATTGTAAAAAATTGAACAATATCTTTGATAAACCTGAGAGTAATTTGCAGCAACAAAATTGAACAATTTACACCTCTTAATATCTCACAACTTGAGGAACAAGCTTGGGTGAAAAGCACACTGCCTAATCTGTAGTGGCATAGATCTCGAATTGATGAAGAGCTTGTTGGAGAAGCACCGCATACAGCTCAACCGGTGTCATTGTAGCTTCCCCAGAAATCTTCAACGAGGGTGATTTCATAATTTTCTGTTTGTTAGATGCACTGTTTAGACTCAAATTTTGTTGCTTTTATAAATAGGTTATAGATGTATGTAGTCTTCTCTGCAGGGGACTATACATACTATGCTGACTATACTATGCTGAGTACTGGCTGGTGTGCTAAAATTTGTTTTTGTTTTAACAAAGCTGTTGGGTAGCTCGAAACGAGCAACCCCGAATGGCTCGAAAGTATGATTTGCCTTTGCTGTCACGCGCTTAGTAAATTAAAAGAAAAGAAACAAACGTATAACAATTTAAAAACAAAACACAAGAGAGAGGAGAGGACAAAGAAAGCGCGGGAAACGAGAGAGCAGAGCTGAGCTGAGCTGCCACAATGAAACATCTTCTCCGACAACCATGACGACAACCGACTTGGGTGTTCGCCGACAACCGACTTAGGTAAGCTGCGACAGTGAAACATCTTCTCCGATGATGACCACTTCTGTTCGAAATCCCTACTACCGTGCATTGGAGATTAGGTAAGTTCCTCTTCTAATTTTTTTTGCATTTGCGATAGGTGCAAATCTATTGATTTTTGTGATGCATTTGATTTGTCTGCAATGGTTCTAGGTTTGTTTTGTTTTTCATTGGTTGTGTGGCCAGTGTTTTTGTAGTAATGCATTCCAGGTGTTTGATGAAAGTCCACATAGAGAGATTGTAATTTTGTTAATGAAAATAGTAAATTTTGATTCTCTTCAAAACTAGTTTATGATCGGATGCATTCCAAGTTTTTGTAGTGATGCATTCAATTGTAGGAATTTATGCTGTGGCCAGTTGATGGTTTATATGGTTTGTAATTTTGTTAATGAAAATAGTGAATTCTGATTCTCTTCAGAATTGGTTTATGATCTAATGCATTCCAAGTTTTTGTAGTGATGTAGTCAGATTACACAAATAATTTCCAAACACGAAAATATTTACTTCATAACACATACTTACATATTTTGATGGGCAAACAAAGAACAAATCCCATGATTTCCATTCTCATTGGTTTGTACAATATACATTGCAGTTGTTCTCCCACAGTCACACATTTTGGGTTTTAATGTAATGTTGCTATTGTTCGTAGAAGAAGAAGCCATATTTAATCTGCAACTAAACAATGAGAATGTAATATGTGGGTGTTTGGGAAGTGGCTATTTTAGAGGCTTTTTAAGCTATTTTAGTGGGTTATTTTAGTTTTTATGTTTGGGAAGTTAGGTTAAATTTTTGGTTGGTTGTTGTATTGAAAAATGTGCTTGAAACGATATTTGAGGTTGAAATGCCAAATTTGTCCCTAATCTTATTTTTTCCAAAATTGATCTGCGGGAGCAAAATGATAATTTAACTGCCTGTGGGATGGCAGTGGTAGCCTGAGCCTACATTGTGTTGGTCATAGTGTAGGCTGTCCGTGCATGACAGCCACTACCTTTTCTTTATTTATTTTTTTTATTTTTAAATCAATGGGTTAGTGTGGCTAATTCGTGACGATCTGCTTGTGTTTTCCACAAAATAGTATTTGAGATTTCTTTTTCTTAAATCCGTATGTTAAGTTTCCATATCTTCCTGATAATCTGAGATGTGCTTGCTTGCTGTTGTCATGTTTGATTGTACATTCAGACATTGTATCAAATGGACTGCCCAAAACTTGGGTTTGTTTTTGACTTTGTATACAACCAAAGGCAAAAACAAATTCAGCAAGAATACCACATTTATCAGCAAACATTGTTATGGAAAATTTCAGCAGCAAAACAAGATTTAGCAAATAAATTCTTGAGCAAAAACTCAACAGCAAACAAATTTGTAGCAGAAAAACATTATTGGCAAACAATTCAGCGGCAAAACATGATTTTAGCAGCAAACATTCTTGGGGAAAAATTCACCAGCAA